GACAGCAAAATGGCTAGTTTTGAGTAGCTGAGTTTTGCCAATTTAAGCAAATTGCAGGTAATTTTCATTTAACTGCATGAGTTGGGACTGGAATTTCTAACATTGCCAGAAATGTAAGATGTCACATGACTACATCACTCAGGGACGGAAATTCTGGCACTTCCTGTTGTTGTTGTTGTTAAGCAAATCATCAAGAGTTGTTAAGTGAGGAAATCACGTGGTCACCACTTGCAACCTCCTGCCATCTTCGCCATTGATTTTATTTGTAGGAAACTGGCAAAGGTCGCAAATTCAACCACATGATTATGACATGCTGCAACGCAATTGCAAGATGGGTTCCAACCACTCTAATCATGATGTTATGACAGTGGGGGCAACCAACATAAGTCTGAGGACTGGGTCATAAATACTAGTTCAGCAGTCACTGAAGGTCACTGAAGGAGTGGTTATTAAGCAAGCACTATCAGTAAAAATCAAAGCAAATGTAATTCTCTGTGAAGCTTCACGCATCCATTATCATCTTTAAATGAGAAAAATAGTCATTTTCCTCTAGATAATTGTCTGAAATGATCTTGCCATTCTCGTCAAGATATTCTTATACAGTTCTCAAGATATTGGGGGTAGGTATGGACTATGGAGGATAGTCTAAAGCAAAAAAAATGCTGATTTGTAGTCTTTAATATCTTATTGCTCTGTCTCTAAAGATCTTTATTTGGGCCAACATGCATAGATACTATCCCAAATGATATGTTGTGGAGCATGATCAGTACTCCAATTTCAGAATGCCTTCTTTCCCTATGTTGGGAATGGGGATCTCTGTCTCTCCACATACTACTCAACTAAAATTTTCTCACCATTTGTGACACCATTTGATTACACCTGCTAAGAGTTCAACCACCTCCGAAGGCTGACAAATAGTTCAGGAGTGCTCAAATGGCATAGAATGTAAAGATTGTTAGTAATTCCTAAGGTTAGTAAGAATAAACTTTTCTTCTACCGTGTTTCTCATAAAATAAGGCCGGGTCTTATATTTTTTTGAGCCCCGAAAAAACGGCTAGGCCGTCTTTTCGGGGGTGACTTAATTCCCCCCCCTTGCATCCTCATCTAGAGCACCCCGCGGGCAGCCTCGCCACCAGCTGCTCCTAACAGGTGATCATGGCGAAGCACAGAGAGCTCCCTACTCCCACTGAACACCTTTGCTGCAGACCCAAGACCTTTGGCACCTGCCGCTGTTGCTTTCCCTTCTGCCCATTCTGCCGCCACGTTTGGAGCTGCCGCTTCCGTGTTTGAAGTGCTGCTGCCATTTGGAGTGCCGCCGCCATTTGGAGCACCGCTGTCATGTTTAGAACTGCCACTTCCACATTTGGAGCTGCCACCGTGTTTGGAGTGGCGGCGGCGCTCCAAATGGCGGTGGTGCTCCAAACAGCAGCAGTGCTCGAAACGCGGAAGCGGCAGCTCCAAACGCGGCGGCAGCTCCAAATGCGGACATGGCAACTCCAAACAGCGGCAGTGCTCCAAACAGCGTTGGGGTTCCAAACGCGGAAGCGGCATCTCCAAATGCGGAAGCAGCAGCTCCAAACAGCAGCAGTGCTCCAAACAGCGGCAGCGCTCCAAACGTGGAAGCGGCAGCTCCAAACGCAGCGGCAGCTCCAAATGCAGAAGCGGCAGCTCCAAACGGCAGCGGTGCTCCAAACAGCAGTGGTGCTTCAAACGTGGAAGTGGCAGCTCCAAATGCGGCGGTGGCATGGGCAGAAGGGAAATTAACAGTGGCGGGCGCTGAAGGTCTTGGGTCTGCCGCAAAGGTGCTTGGCAGGAGTAGGGAGCTCTCCGCACTATGCCATGATCGCCCATTAGGAGCAGCTGGTGGTGAGGAATTGCTGCCCGCGGGGCGCTCCTAACGGCAAGTCCTTCCCCCCATTTTGCATGTTTTAAAATAGGCCTAAATTTGGGGGGAGGGGCTTAATTTCTTTTTATGCCTAGAAAACATGCTGGGTCTTCCTATTGGGGGAGGTCGTATTGTTGGAGAAACACCGTATGTAGTTAGCTATGTCAGTATTTCATTCCACTGGTCTACCTGCAGATTGCTCACAGTTTAAAGTTGTCAGATACTGTTGTAAGTTGAAAATACACCAATTATTTGCATATTGTTCTTGAGCACTTTCAAAATGCTTTGATTGATTTAATCATGAAAATGCAAGCATATACAATGCCCTAAAAACTTACTGGGAAAATGGCTCTGTTTAATTAGTCATACCAACTGCCTCTTTTAGTTTACCTGCTGAACTTGCCAAACTAGTACGTACAGCTAAACATAAATGAAAATTTTATTTTACATAAATAGTAAGGTTAGCATTCTGAACTTTCAATTCCTATATTGTTTTGAAGCGAATATGAGAGCCGGATAGGGATAGCATACTATGTTTAAAGTTTAAACATTAAACTTTATGCAGTATATTTAATGTATGTACTAATTTTATGAATTTAAATTTATATCAGATAAATCCCAAGGAGGCCAGAGTGAATAATATTTCTTAAGAGGGAAGCCCAAATCCCTTGACATGGTTCACAATGAAGTACACAATAGAAAGTCAGGCAGTTAAAAAAGACGATAAAGATAATGATGTTCATATTAGAATCAGAAGCAACATGAAAATTGTTGCTTTGGCAAAGCATCACTATTTCATTCTTCTGGGTATGTGATACTTGTATTCTTGATGTAATAAAATCAAGATAAAGCATTTTATGTTTTTTCAAGATAATTTGGAATTACATTTTTCTTGCCATGTACTCATTTTGTTTCTTTATTTGTTTTGACTGTTTTGCTTTAAGACTGATTGAGGAAATATCCAGAAACATGTTTGAAGAAAAATTCAATGATAAGGGGACAAGAATTTAATAGTCATTTAGTGATAAATTCAAACATGCCGTGTGTACAATTTTATGTGCAGGAAAAAGGCTATTTCTCTCATTTTCCAATTTTTATTCTAGCAGAAGAGGGTTTTTGATGATCACATTGAAATACAGTTCCTTTTTTTTATTTAAGGAATTAGTGGACTACCTACGAATTCATTCACATAGTGCAACTTACGCCACATCTATGGCTCCTCCTATAGCCGAACAAATTATAAGAGCAATGAAATGCGTCATGGGACTAGATGGGACCACACAAGGTAAGATATTTCACTAACGTGGTCTTGTTTGTATTGAAAAGAGAATGAATTTTCACCATAATAGCATATACTGTAGACATATTTGGTATCATGAATGAATGAATGTATTTTTTATACTCCCAAGTACTCCCAAGTATGAACAAGATGTTCATTTTCAGACCAAGATATCTGACTCGCATAATTCTCCTTGGAAGATGGTGCATGCTCCGCCTTGAAGGATGTTTCATGTTTTACCTTGTCCCCTGCTCATTCCATTTTTTAATTATCTAATTTACATTAAAATATACAGCTAGTCCTTGATCTGCAACTAGTCATTGAATGACCATTTGAAGTGATAATGGCACTAAACAAATGGTGATTACAACTGGTCTTTAGAGCTCCAAGCATTCCAGTGCCCCCCACAGTCACATGATTGTGATCTGGATGCTTGGCAACTTGTTTGGGCTTATGACTGATTGCAGCACCCCATGATCACGTGATCCTCATTTGCACTCTTTCCTGCTAGGATCCCAAGAGAATTAATGGGGAAGCCAGCAGAGAAGGTCATCGATGGCTGGGCTCTTCCCCTATCCCCTCCGCGCTCACACTACAACAGCCATTCATTCCTGTTGATTCTCACGCACCCTCCTCAACCTGATTTTTTGTGTGCTTGATTTCAGATTCCTCATTTTAGGGAAGGATGTTTGAGGGGAGGTCACCACCTTAGAGCTCTAGAGATCCCTGGACTCCTTTTAATCTGGGTTCAGACAAGGACATAGTACTGGGAGAGCTTTGACAATGACCTACATGGGAACGGGGCAAGCATTCATCCTAGATCTCTTTGACTTTTCAATGGTATCAATCCATGGTATTCTTCTGGACTGACTCTAGGAATTAGAGGTGGGAACACATAATATTACAGTAGTGCTTTCTTTCTCCAGGTTCAGCTCCTCTCAAGGCTTTATTTCCCACATCTGCATGAAACCATTATAACATTTATATGCTCGTTGTATGAGATGCCAGCATAGAACAGTTACGGAAGTAACATATTACTTCTGCCGTGAACAGAATTATTGTACCGTTTGTAAAGTGGCACCAAACCAGAGAAACTTAATTTATAGGAAGAGTTTGCAATGGATATCATAAAAATAGACTGCTTTTAGTGTTTTTGCATATAAACTTTCTTGCCAATGGAGGGCAATATTGCCCTGATTTTTTTCCAATATCAAAGGATTCTCCCCAAGATTGAGAAGTAATTACAGGGCTTCATTTCAGTACTATTCTTGTCAAAAATGTTCTCCTATAATATCTGTGCTGTTACTGTATACTCATTGGAACCATGCAGCGGCTCTAATTCACATTACAACACCAAATGGTAATTTGTAGGATAACTTTGTGTGTGTGTGCGCGTGTGTGTGTGCGTGCGTGCGCATGCGCACAGAAACATCTTTATTTGCTTAAATGCTAAGAATGTTTGAAATGTGTAGAATGTACCTGTTCTTTTTTGTTGTTTGAATAAGGTGTGGCTGTGTTACTAAAAAGTGCCTTACTTAGCATTGCAGGCAGTGCCTTACTTAGCATTGCAGGCATGCGGTGATAAGACTCCTGAATGTAAAAAGCTAGTATGATGGGGTGAGGCTGTAGATCACCTTTTTCTTACAAGTTCTTATAATTGCATTTGCCCTGACCCAAAAGCATATCTGATCACCGTCCAACTGGCCATTGGAAAATCAAAATATCAACGTTTCAAGTATCTTTTCCTACATGTTCATCATCCTTCAGATTATTTGGTTGTGATGGGGAGATACAACCACATTGGCTCAACTGGAGGAGGATATTGAGGATCTGGGAGCCAAATGAAAAACACCTGTGCCACAAACCCAAAGGAAATGATACAAGGACATATTTACAGTGTTTCTTGGGGCTTCTTCTCAAAGTTAATCACTTCAGCTCAGCTCAGTTTATGAAGAGTTCTGCAAACTTTATAGTACTGTGCAGAGAGATGAGCACAGCCCCTGTGTTCAAGTTTTGCATATGGGTGGAAACCCTTTCAGAGCAGATCTTGCTGATAAGTATTTTGCTTGTTGCTTTCTGGACAACAGTCTTGGAAATGATTGGCCATTGCTTTCTCCCTAGGGCTGAGAAAGAGTGACTGTCTCAGAGCCACCCAACTGGCTTTGTGCCTAAGGCAGGACTAGAACTCACCATCTGCCTTATAATGAAGAAAAGGGTTATTAGATGTCTTTTTCAGAAACTTTTGAATTGGTCTTGCTCTCATTTGTTATTAACAATATTTGATGGGGTGGTAATCTATCTTTGGTTTAATGGTGAGACCAGAAGTTTATTTAATCTCTGTCACAGTGGAGGCTTGAGTTCTGCCAAACCAGTTTTTATTAAAAAAAAAAAAAAAGCTTTCTGTTGTAAATATAATCTGTGTGTTATCAAGGCAGAGCACATGTTCTCAGTAGATTTCTTAACGCATTTAGGCAAAACTTAATACTTTTCAGATTTTATTTGGCTCACTTTAGATTTCTTTAAAACTAAGGATCTTTGTCATGGGTAACTAAGATGGAGAAAAAGTTCTTGTTTTGGCCTATTACATGTTTTCATGATGTTCATGAAATAGTCTCAGAACCAATAAATACCCAGCTACCAAATGCAATATGGTATCATCTTGAGAGCAAGTTATTTGCTTCTTAGACTTTTACTTGACAGACTGTAAGGTTGCTATGGGATTGTCTCCTTCTGTATCCGTCTCGGGTTTGGAAGAGCTGCGTTCCCTGGTTCTCCTCACTGCATCCCACATCAAGTGCCAGGCTTTATCCAGATATGGCAAAAATATGTCTATCTGGAATTTTAAGTTTGCATCCAGTAAACAGCTAGTTCATAGAATCAGTAAGATTAGAAAATTGGCTTTATTGCAGGCAAGTCATATTTATTCAGAATATCTGCCTCTTTCAGAGCATAAGAATCAAAGTACCAAGTATAAAGTGGTTATAAGACGTGTGTACGTACTGTATGTATGTAAGTATACATGTAAGTGTACACACACACACACATACACACGTACACATATACATACATACTTACATACATCTACACACACATAACCAACTCTAGGCAGCTCTCGATCAAAAGTTAGAACAGCATAAAAGCCATATTAAAGCTATAGAAATCCAACACATTAAAAACAAAAACCTGGCATCAAAGTTAAACTTCTGGTGCACAGTCACTTCATTTTATCCCAGTGCTTGGGAGTAAAAGCCAGGTCTTCAGAGCTTTTTGGAAGGCTAGGGAGGATGAGTGTTCCATATGGCAGGGCCTGCTGCAGAAACAACACATTTCCTAATTCCCTTACATTGGCAATATTTAGGGGAAAAGACTAGGAGCATGGACACCCCATTTGATCTGATCGGATGGGTAGATGTTCTTAGAGAAGGTGGTTATCTTGTGCTAGATAAGGTTTTAACGGTGATGAGCAGAACTTTGAATTATACTCAGAAAGAAACTGGAAGCCAGTGCATGGACAAGCCAAGGGGTGGGGCGTAACTGTGCATGCTGCTGTATTCTGGACCAGTTGATGTTTCAGTTAGTCTTCAAGAACAACCCCACGTAGAGGTCTATGTGGTCGTTCAAATGGGAGGTGACCAAGATACACATACCTCCCCCCTGTCTCTCTCACAAACACACACAAACAACAAACATTTCCCCCAGAAATTTCAATCCTAGACAATTTTCTCCTGTACACTCACGGCAATAGATTTTTTATTTTGACCATTGAGAATATCTGTAACATAATTATTCTGTCTGGATTGAGAATTATAACTTCTCATCTAATCAGTTTAACCCCTTTATACTAAGAAGGATCATGATTCCCCAAATTCAGGTTTCCAGGTTTTTCCTCAAATAACTTCATGTGTATGGTTCATACAGTATCTTCCTCCTCCCCTCTAATCATCCTTGCATAATTATTAGAATGTATTTTTGTTCCAATAGAAAAACAACCCCCCAAATGTCTGATATTGTGCCAAATATCCCTCAAAATGTTTATATACAGATGACATTGTAAAATCAGAGAAGCGATCACTAAGAAACCTCTTACAAAGAAATCCCCATCCCATTCAATTTCACCTTCTTCCCTGAAGCAAGGTTCCCAGAAAAAGGCTTTCAATTCAACTCAATTTCAAAAATGAATGATGTGAAAGAAGGTGTATTTTAGATATCCAGTGTATACAATATCATCAAATAGCGACCAAGGGCATTCCTCTATTGCCTCAGTATGTAATCTGGCCACTGCAGGTGAATCAAGAAAGCCTCCAGACTGCCTTCCAAGTAATCCCCATAGAAAATGTGTGTCTTATTTCCAATCTGGACATTGACAAAGTATACAGATAATAGTGAGAAGATGAACATGTCTTCAAGGACTTATGTCATATATAAAATTTCCATATCTACAATAGCAGTGTACTGTCTGGGTACAATCTCTTTTAAATGCAAGTAATAATACATACGATAACTACAACTATTATTCTCAAAATCTATTCACTATGATCTTCACTTATCCTTATTAAATATTTCCTATTATTTAATTAAACACTTTATTCAGCTTTATCTATAATTGGTTAATAATACCAAACATTATAAACATCATATGAACATCACATTTATAATTCATTTGGAATTCTAAAATCAAGCCAAGAAACAAAAGTATAAGGCATGTCCCTCTGTTGGAGGGGAAATACCATTTGTTATTGAATCATACCAGTTTGTCTTCATCGGGTTGCTGAGATTTTTTTTTTAACCCAACCTTCATTGGTTCCTAGTGCCAATTCAGGATAGATAGATCTGGACTAGATGAAAAGGAGGAGTGAGCATTTGTCCACATTCTGATGACACGTAATTGCATATCACTACATTAACCCATATAATGATTTCAGGTAGATCGACAAGCTTTTCCTGCTCTAACTATCTGAAGTAAATATTTCTGAAACGTTATGCAAGATTGTCACAATCTTGTGAGA